AGATACAACTAATTGTGAGACCTGTGGCTGGGGGATGGGCTTTTGAGCTTCTAGATAGGGTTTTATTTCATTCTGAAAAACTCTGCTTCCTGGCATCCAGGAATTAGAAAGCCCATTATAGCCCCATTTTTTCCAGAGTAACTTTTTCTGTGTCCTCTTTTATTGAGAATAACTGGCCTTTTATTTTTTTAAAATACTCATTTATCTATTAGCCAAGAAGAGGATTTCTTAAAGTGTTATCATTTATGCAGATAACGTCATTGTTGTTAACACATTCATAAATTTTTAACTTGCCCATTACAACTACTTAATTGGGCCTTGTCATCAAATTGTCATTCACTTAAAACAGGATTTGTGGGTAATAATCCTTTCCCAAGCGAAAAGGAACACCATCTGTGAAACTCCTGAAATGAAGTTGAAAGTGTCAGATTGATTAAAAATAGTTCAGCCATATAGAGCAGTTAGAATCCAAAGTGTCAGGAATACTTTCATGTACAAAAACAAGAAGGGAGTGCTTGCCTGTGTTTCATGTGGTTTCATGTGGAACATTGGCTAAGTTGGGTTGCCCAGTGTCCTTTTCATTTGACCCTGTGTGAATGTGCCAGCTTGGACAGAAGTTGGAGTGGTTTGTGTTTCACCTTACCCAAGGTTTTCATGTGCCTGAGTATATGGTCAATCATCCAGTTTGCTTTCATATCCAAAATGGGGTTGACAGTTAATATAGGAATGAAGAAAAATTCTGTTGCTCTCTTGGGGGGGGGTGGGGGTAGGGGAGAATGTATTGGCCAGGTTTGACATTTTACTGGGGAAAGAACAGAATTTCAGACTCCCTTATTTTAGGTTACCAGAGCTGAGCTCTTTCCCTGGGCTGCCTGAGCAGTTTTCTGTTGAGAACATTTTACTGTAAATAGTAATTTTGGGGGGGTGATTCATTCACTGCTTCCCTTTTTGTGCCTTTAAGGCTTCTGAATGCTATTTATTATTCGACCTTCTCCGGGCCGGTAGGTGTGCCTGTATTTTTAAAGAATAAATAGCATTGTTTTGGGCCATTAAAAGCCTTTCAAATTATTTATATATATTTTTATGCAAATTAAATGTTTAACAGGATAAAATATTCAGGTACAGAATTGAATGAAAAGTTATTAAGACTGCTAATAACTCTGACAGGGCCCACGAGGAAGAATGGGAAAAGTGGCAACACTGGGTGGCCTTGGATTAGAATTTATACCGGGCCACAAAGTGGCCCCTATATGAGCCAGCTCCCTATATGCATGTGAACATGCAGTGGCTTGGTTGCATCAATCTGACTAGTACAGCAGTCATCAGTTTCCTTCAGTACTTTGGAATAAAGACTTGCTACCTGATTGTTTGGACATCTGTTGTATGCATGTTGGAAATAGGAAAGATGGCTTAAGAAACCAAAACCAGCCTCCTTGGTCCCCCCCTCCCCCAAAGCCAACCCAAGCCTACGACTTGCACAGAAATTATGTGATTTTAGTATTAATGTGGTTTAGACTTTTACAAGATACTTGATGTTTATTTTCTATGTTTGCAAGATCATTTATAAACTTTGTATAATCCTAAACTTTTTACAAACATAGTTATTTTATAGCTGTTCAGATCTCCAGGGGAAAAATAAAGCTATACCCATTGTTTGCCTGATGATATAGAGAATGTTTATATTAGCACCACATTTGTAAGAGGTACAACAAGCCTCTTGGGAAGACCATTCATCTTGGAGAGAACGTGTTCACCTTTTCCCCTTGCGTAGTTTTGCTTCTTTCCTCATGGTGATCTTGGCAAGGTCTCTGACCTCCTGCCACTTAGTGCGACATGGCTTAGTTTTGAAGAGTACTTTTGGAAAAAGGACTCTGGCATATGGCAGAGTTAACTAACCTGTATGGCAGTCAAGCCTGATTGGTAATACTCAGACTTACTGAGTAGCAATTAATTGAACACGGATTACATTTGAGCCTTCAACAACATAGAGCTACCATGCATTTTGATTGAAGCAGTTGCTAATTTAGGGGAGGTGGGGTATACTTAAAACAAGTCTAAATACCACATTTAACTACTTTACTAGAAAGGGTCTCTTAACCTTCACCTCCTTTCTTTGCCTAGAAAGAAGATGGGTGTCCCATCTCTAGGCAAGTTAAATGACTCCTGTATTCACTGTTACTCATGTGGTGTACTGTCTTTTCTAAAAATTACAAAAAATAAGCTAGAAGACAGAAATTCTTCAAATATTCATCCAGCTTAATCCACTCTTGGGAAATGTTAGCTCTCAAGACTGCCCAGGTTGTACAGAGGCAATGGTTCCGCCCTTTAGATGCTAAAGTGTATACTTCAGGTGAAAGAACAATACACTATGGCCCTATCAAGTAGGACGATTGTCAGTTACTATTGTTTTGGCTATATAGGAAGCTGTTGGGGGGGGGGGAAATATCTCTGCTACAAAGAGTCTGGTTAAAAGCACTTGTTTATTGGTTACAATATCAACTCATGGCAACATGTTTCACTGAGCCACTGTACAAATACAAAGATCAAATCCATTGGAAAAAGCTATAAACAGAAGTTCATAGCAAGTGACCATTTCACAGGGAAGTCATTGATGCAAAAGCACTATTGGAGAATGCACGGCACAAGTCCCTGGTTTTTATTAGCTTAAATTAAAGCTGTTAAGACTTTATCTGGATACAGACACACTCCAAAGGCAGTGTGAAATCGATTCATCTTTTGTAATATTTACTGACTTATCTGGTCCAAGTCAGCAGAGTGTGTAAAACAAATATTCTAAGATGAGAAGAACTATATTGGAAATTTGACTATTATACAGTGACTGCAAAACAAAAATTTTTAAAAACCAATTACATTTGGACTCCTTTGGATGTAATAATGTAATACAAGTGTTCGAATGCCTCTCTGAAAGGAGAAAAAACACAGAATAGAGCACCATTGTGTAAGTAAAACAAAGGCTTGAAATATCTAAAGACTATTCCACTGAAGTCCATATTAGTCAAAAACCTAACATACTGTGTGTGGTACAAGATTTTGTCAGGCACATTTAATCTGTTATCAGTTATATCAATTAGTAACACTTTACACATTTTTACCATTACAACACTGCATTAACATTCTGCATGTATTTTACATAACCAGCAACTGGATAAAAAGGCCTGTGGTGCCTCCAAAGTGTAGGAAGAAATTTTACCAGCATGCATGCCAGATTACTGAATACAAGATGCACCACCAGCCCATGCTTGCTTAATTTATACATGAAATGCGATCTTAAAATCAGTCATTCTGCTATAGAACACAGCAGAAAATGCATTTGTTTTCACTAATTCATACCTATTCTAACCAGCATTTTAAAGTATAGCACTAAAATCTAGTGGCATCGACTGTCCTTTGAATAAAGGGAGAAAAATAATAATGGAATGTTTTTCATGCTTTTCTTATAAACATAAAACATGATGTCACAATGGGACAAGTGGTACATTTATTGAATTTTAAAGGTTATAATGTATTATAGGATCTGCTAAGTTCATACAGCATTGCTAATCCAAACTGACAGAAGGCTTTGCTAACTCCATGATTTTATTTATCTTAATGGGATGTTAGAAATATAAGTTTCAGACATTACTCTTGTACCATTCATGCTTACACTCAGTCTTCTAAAACATCTGTCAGGAAAATTCTAGAAAGAAACCCTTCATAATCCACCAGAATCAGGCTTACAACTTCACTGGTTTTTTTTAGTCCCATTTGGGGGATAACTCAATCCATTTCCTTCCAATTCATGTAAAGATGAATTTTGAGCATACAGAATATTTGAAACTTAACCATGAGACACACAATCAAAAAGCAGAAAGCGTTCCTTTCAAACATCACAAGGAAGCAAGTCAAGTTTATTTTGTGTTACTGTGGCACAATATTCCATGACTACCAATGATGAAAGTGACACCATCTTAAATTCCTCCTATCATCATGGATGGAGCAGCTCTTCTGGAGGCAGCAGATGTTGCCGGCTGCTCATAACCCAACCATTCTGGAAAGCTATGTAGACAAATTTATCTTCATATGACAAATTACCAGGCCAGGTCACCTGAGCCCTTTGCTAAACAGCTCCAGTGAAATCTCTTGGAGATGGAAGAAATAAAGGCAACTTCTTTAAAAAGATTTTTAGGAACCTCATTATGCTAGAAGTATAAAGTGCGCTATGCTCAAAAGTCAATCATTGATAAGGTACAGTAAGAAACAGCTGAATAGATTTTAGGATTGGGGAAAATTGTTATTTCCACTAACAGGCATCAGAAATTGCTATTTCTTTTGGGGGGGGGGTTTAGGCAATTGGGGTTAAGTGACTTGTCCAGGGTCACACAGCTAGTGTCAAGTGTTTGGTCTGAGGTCATATTTGAACTCGGGTCCTCCTGACTCCAGGGCCAGTGCTCTAGTCACTGCACCACCTAGCTGCCCCAGAAATTGCTATTTTTGATACAAATTGTAAGTAGAATTCTAATGGCACCGTTTTGATTTTTGACAAATTTAAAGATCTACAACAGATTTCCCGTGTGTACCCTTCCTGCTGATTTTAGGAATACTAACAGAAATAAGTGGTGGGCAACCATGCTGGACTCCCAATCTGCAGATAAATTTAGCACCTGGCAAGTTCTGCTATTCAGTGCTTAGAAACAAGGGAACTGACAGCCTATCTTCTTTAGATTTACTGAAACACAGCCTCAGACACAACTGGCAGTCACTTAACACAGCACAAAGATGACTTTTTGACATCAATCACATGCATAAACTTTTCAAATATCTGTTAATCACTCAAATCATCAGAGTAATTTTAAACTGGTCTACTCAATTGTTTAGACATTAAAGGAAACACTTAAGGAAAAATCTGTTGGTGACTTTATAACTAACACTTGTGGCTTGTCCAAGTGCCAAAGCAATTATGGCTATTGGCATGCAGCTTCTCTCATTTGTTTGTAAGGACGTTTCGTCAGGAGAAATGCTTTTTAGCCATTTTTCATAATGACAAACTAAATGACATTTTTTCTCCAGAGTTACTGTATGCACCTTTAAAATCCACATTCCGCCTGGCCTCAAAGAGCTGCTCTTTATGAAGATACACATAGACATTATATAATTAATACAGCATGAAAGTCATCACACAAAAAGGAAAATGTAGGAGTTCTTATAAGTGACAGTATAGAATAATTTTGGTCCTATACCTCCCTAATTGGCCTTAAGTATATTCTCTTTCTAGCATGTGATATAGAACTGATACTGAATTCACTGTGGTTGGCACACTTTAACTATTTGTAAACAAGACAGACTTACAGGCACAGTTTGGAAGTGCTGACATTAGGAGTGACAAGTTATCACAATTTCATGTTGGTCTCAGCAATAATCTGTGGTCTAGCACACTTATAGAATCTTGGGCTCTTAAGTTCACAAAAATGACTCAACAGGATATTTCCCAACACTTAATGCAACATCACCAATTAAATGACTTTAAGGGGAATCCAAGATGGAAAGCACATTTTTTTTCCCGAAAGACTACTGATCCTTGTAGTCCAGTTTTTGTGGTATATCCAATGCTAGTAAAATAAAATTACTCTGGTAAGGAAATTTAACCATTACATGAGCATACTTCAAACTCAGTACTGAGATTGGTTTCCTTAAGGTTCCTTGGCTTAGATGCAATCTTTTATTAGCAAAATAGTTTAAGAAATGTACACTTGGCACTAAAGGGAATATTTAAACAAAATAACTAATTGAAACTAATGTTTCAATTTAACAGACCACTGGCATCTACTAAAATGTGAAGGCACAGGCCATTTTTACCAAGCTAAATTTTAAATTAAAAGGTCATAAAATTCGTAGAAACATGGTTTTAAATAAGGTTACTGACCTATAGACAAGGGATAATGCTCTTCGTTCAAAACATAGTGCTATCTTACTACATTAACCATGCATAAAACAGGCATATATACTCAGGTTTACAGGAAAACAACTCATTCTTAATCTCTGAGGCAAAGAACCAAAAAAAAAAAATCCAACCTGAAAAATTTCCAAATATCCTAAAAACTCAGTGTAATGAAATTCAATTCTCTAAGTTCACAGTGGGACATGTCACTCATAGTGTCATTGTATCACTGAATGCCTTGAAGTATGTGCAAAGAATTCTTTGTTGGCCATTTGTCTGCTACCTACTCTTTGAACATGGAGTCAATTCTAAAATTTCCTGTATAGTCCTAGAAAAGAAAATGGCTATTTGGCAACTGTAGAGAGCACTTCTTCCAGGATTCTACATAGTTCATCTGTCCCAAATGAATGTGGGCATGTAATTAATTCTGGGGAATAATGTCCATTGGTGTTAAAGGATGCACCCGAAACCACAAGGGGAAAAATATTATCCTCAATGTTTAAGAGGAAGGGGCTGAAGAAGTAAGGCTCTAGGTAACAGAATGGAATCACTGGACCCATTTCACCAGATAAAAGGAGATCATCCTTCCAAAGCACCCACATATAGGCACAACCACATATCAAAGACATGGCATCACTTCCCATATAGAGCAATTTCATAAAGACCCTAACTTCTTCAAAGCTATCATTTGATTCATCCTCCAAAACACTCAGAAATATGACATTTCAGAAAGATGCAAAGCTATAAATGTAGTTCTTTTAAAAAAACACAAACATATTTTACAGACAGACAAATGTTACAGGAGAGGCTGCAATAGTGTGTGCATTCTGTTTCATACCAGGAAAATATAGAATTAGCAGACTTTGAGCACAAGCAGAAATTCCTCAGATCAAGCTAACCAAATTTCCCGAAACAAAACTGGGTCTGTATTTACTTTCCTGTCACCATGATTTTATACATTGGTCCCCCCTCCCCCCGCCTTCTTCACTTTATTTTCTTCTAGTTTACAGAAAGCGTGCGTGTGTGTGTGTGTGTGTGTGTGTGTAATAGTGACTAGAAAAAAAACCAAACTTCACCTGCAAATACAAGGTAGAAATGTTATTTCACAGCTACAGGCTGCAGCATTGATCTCTCCAGATCTCAACGGAGAATGTAAAACATATGACAACCCAGTTAATTCCAGATTCTAAGAAAACTGTCCCAAGATCCTGTTGCTACAGCCATGCCATCATCAGTAACACCTAGACAGCTGACACGGTTGTCATGGCCAGCAAGGACACCTAAAAGAATAAGGAAAGGAAAAAGAATTAGAAGTTGTACCTAAAAAAGCTTAAAACTGAAATGAGCTTCATTCAAAATATGGAGAATTTCAACAGATCTCCATCATAAAAAAGTATTACATATCATTTCCATAAAAATAATATGACAGCCCTGCAAATTTACTGCAATAGTATCTACTACCTTGTGAACAAAAACAAACCATAAATGGAAAAAGTCCTTCCCTTTTGGTATGAATAATCAAACACTGATGGGAGCATCATGGGCCCTGCCCTGCTGGAAGCCACAGAAGTAGGAGATGCCCAGGGCTTCCTTTGCTCTTTCACATCTTTCTTGGATGCTACTCCATCGACCCTCCTCCTGGATCCTGGCAAACACCATGAAACCTTCCTACCAGGACACTAACGAGAACCCCTAGGTCAGTTTAATCCGCCATACTTGGCTGTCTTCCTCCATCAGAGTGGAAGGGACTGTTTTTGCTTCTCTTTGTATTCCCAGCAATCAGCACAGGGCCCGAGCCACAGCAAGCACTTGAGAAGTAAATTCTGTCCCTCCCTGTCCTGGGAGAGATTCCTACGTTGTTTCTCTCATCCCTAAATTGAGACTCTCCCCCCGCAGAAGCTCCTGTCCTCTGCTACTTTTGCCCATATTGTCATCTTTCCCCTTGGGGCTCTGCCACCTTGGCCCCTCACCTTGGGTCTCCCCTCTTCTTCTAGGTCTTTCTCTTACACCTGTGGCCTGAAGGAGGGGTCAGGTCAGGAGGCTCTGGGCTCCCCACAGATACTTAAGGAGCCTCTGTCACCATCTCGAAGCACCCTCCCCCTCCTTGGAAGTCCATGCCAATGCTCTCTCTGTCACCCATCTAGATCCCTGGGACAGGGAAGCCCTGCAGAAGGCAGGACGAGCTGAGATTTGAAGGAAGCCAGCAGGCAAAGGTGAGAGAGGAGAGCATCTTTGGCATGGAGTCAAGAGATGGAACAGAAAGTAGATCAGTAGAACTGGACTGTGGACTATGTGAAGGCAAGGCAAGAGTGGAAGGAGCCAGGCAGGGGAGTTGTCAGAATGTCAAAGAGAAGATTTTGTATTCAATTCTCATGAGAAGATCTGTGCTTTAAGAAAACCCCTGGCAAATAATGAGGCGGGGCAGAGTGAAGTGAAACCTGATGAAGGGAGCTTGGGTAGGTTATTATAATAGCTCAGGTGAGAGGGGACGAGAGCCTGGATTAGAATGCTGTCTGTGACAACACGCTGGACATGTGGAATGAAGAGGGGGTAGTAACAGTTGAAAGATGGTACTGAGGTTTTGAGCCTGGCTGAGTGGGAGGAGGGTAACTGGAAAGTTGGAGAAATGGGAAGGTTTGGGAGAGGGGGGTAAAGGTAATGAACAGTTCTGGACAAAGTGTTTAAGATGTCCAACAGGCAATTGGTGACGTGGGATTATAGAACTCAGGAGAGATCAGGGCTGGGTATACAGATCTTGGAATCACCTGCACAGAGATAACTGACCCCACGAGAGTTGGTGAGATCACTAAGATACTTGTGAAGAAGACCCAAGACAAAGTGCTTGGAGGAGACAGGAGGGGATGGGATCAAGAGGACGTGGAAAGGGACATGTTTTGGCAAAAAAGACCACCTCATCAGGGTTACACTTAAGGCCCCATCATTCAATTCAATTCAAAATTTATTAAACACCTACCATGTGCACAGCCCTATGCAAAGTACTGGGGATAAAAAGATTACAGGATGTACATTTAAAGTTGGAAAGAATTTTAGAAGTTGATGTATCTTATCCAACCCATTTACTCACAGACAAGGAAAACTTACTCTGAAAATATGTACTAACCTGCACGTTCTCCTTTCAACGTGTCCCATACGTTACAGTTAAAATCATCGTAACCAGCTAGCAAGAGGCGCCCACTTTTTGAGAAGGCGACAGAAGTGATTCCACAGATGATATTATCATGAGAATACATCATCAACTCTTGGTCTGCACGAAGGTCAAAGAGGCGGCAAGTGGCATCATCAGAGCCAGTGGCAAAAGCATGCCCATTAGGAAAGAACTGAAAAGAGAATCCAGAAATAATTATTAGGGAGAAGGAGAAATCTCACAGCTTTTATTAAACACTTCAATCCGAGAAATTCAAGATAAATATTTTAAAATCTTAAATTCATAGACCTACAGAAAGGCCTCAAAAAGTTATCATAGAAAACAACCATAAAGCTCTAACAAAAGCAAATGCAAAGCACCCCCCTCAGGGCAGATGACAAAAGAGGTGAATCCGATTTTGTATGTGATTAGGGTTGGCTATCAATTCCCAGAAATGAATAGATGTTATACTGCTTCAATGTAACCCTGCTGCTTTTTAGAAAGGGAAACCAAATAATGCTTGGATATTTATAAAGTTAATTAATGATGGTCAGAGATGAAAGCTAAAGGAGAGTATTAGGCCTGGATTCAAAAGTATTTCAACAGTATTTTTTTTTTGTTTCCAGGTGAAAGTGGCCAGTATCTGCAACTCACCTACTTACTACTGTATAAGTTCTCATTATTAATACACCTTGAAAAGTTTGTCAGATTTTGATAAAAATTTAGACATTAACAAAACAAATCTCTTTTATAATTGGTTCCTCCTGCCTCTCTGCCATAAAGAGATTTAATGGAATAGAGTATTTATAAGCAGCAGACTTCATTTATTCACATATGAATAAGATAACAGCAAAGAGAAGGAAGAAAATAAAGGGTAGGGCTTTCTAAATAAACTGGAAAGAAAGGCATCTTCGATTCTTTCCCCAGGAGATGGTTTTTATGAGCCCATAATGGTTACTGCACTAGGCTACTTACCTTTAAAGTGCCATATGCAGACCTGGATATGAGAGCACACTTTAGTTTGAGAATAATTTGAGAATCTGCTGTTTCATATTAAAAATACCAAATAGTCTAATGAAAATTATCTACTTGCTAGGGATAATACTAAAAACAAGCTCAAGATTTAATCTTATGAAACAAAAATGAATGTTTAGTTTGATTTAAAGCACAATACTTTATATGCTTTTTAGGTGTCAAGAAGACAGGCTAACATTTCTAGATAATCTTTTTTTTTTCCAATTAACAAAAATTTATTCTCTCTCTCTCTCTCTCTCTCTCTCTCTCTCTCTCTCTCTCTCTCTCTCTCTCTCCACTCCCTAATTCCTGAAGGGGAAAAGGAGATGGGGGTAATCCTTGCAAAAATAATATGCAGAATCAAACAAAACAAATTTCCACATAGCACGTGTCCAAAAACATATCACATTCTGCACTTTGAATCTATCACTTCTGTTAGGAAATGGGTAGCGTGCTTCATCATTGAACCTCTAGAATTTTGGTTGGTAACAAGGATCAGGTTCTTTTCTTTCTTTCTTTTTTTTTTTCAGGCAATTACAGTTAAGTGCCTTGCCCAGAGTCACACAGCTAGTATGTGTCAAGTGTTTGGTCTGAGGCCGCACTTGAACTCAGGTCCTCCTGACTTCAGGGCCGGTGCTCTATCCACTGCGCCACCTAACTGCCCCTAGGATCAGGTTCTTAAAGAGCTTTCAAAGATGTTTGTTATTACAATATTGTGGTTACTATATAAATTTTTCTGGTTTTGTTCACTTCATTCTACCTCAATTCTTATGAGTCTTTGCAGAATCATCTGAAAATGTCCCTTTAATAATTTTCTTTGACTAGTACTTTTCTAGGTTCCTTCTAGTAATCATATATTTGGATACATAAACGTTTGAACATCAAAAAAACTTCGTATTTTCCTCCATGTTTACTACCAAAACCTGAACTTTTTATGTGTAGTACAAACTGTCTTAAAGACAGCATGCCTTTTCTTATCAATGTCATCTTATTATTGTTGCAGGATTAACAATGTTACTGCAAGTGCTGGTTGGTTCAAGGACCTTAATAAACAAATAAAAACTTATTTAAAAAAATTTTTTCATTGCATATTTCCATTGGGCTGGAACCTGTTACCATATTTTACACAATTATAACTCTGAATAGTGGGAATTGAGATACATATGATCACTTCATGGGATTCATTATTCACACTAATCAGGACCTAGCTGTAGCTGTAATGAGGCAGCTATCTGTTGACCAGAAAACAGTAATAGATATGACTGTTGCTTCTCAGGGCATGTATTGAAGACCTAAAAGAGAATCTCCCAAGACTTGTCAAAACAGATGATTATCACACAGGTACAAATGACAATCAATTGACCATTAAGGCCCAATACTATATACTAGATACTCTTCTAGGTGGTGAGACAAAAATGAAAGTCTCTTAACTCAAGGAGCTTCCATTCTCCTGGGAGAAAAAACATATAAATAAATACGTATATACAGAATAAGTACACGATGAACACAAGGCAGTTTCAGAAAGGAAGGCACAAGCAGCTAGAAGGATCAGGAAAGGCTTCATGTAGAAGGCAGCACTTGACTTAAGTCTTGAAGGAAATAAGAGATTCCATGTGGCAAAGGGGAGAAAGGAATGCATTCCAGGCACAGTAACATGAAGGATCATTTGGCTAGACCATAGAGTTCAAGAAGTAAAGTGATGTGTAATGAGGATAGAAAGGTAGGTAGGTTGTATAGGGTTGTAAAAGCCAAAAGAGGAGCTAATGGGGAGCCACTGGAGTATATTAATTGGGGGCATAACAGTCAGATCTATGCTTAAGGAAAAACCCCTTTGTCATCTATGTGGAGGATGAACAGTGGGGAGAAACTGAAGGCAGGGAGACCAAGTAGGAGGGCACTGTCATCCTCCAAGCAAGAGGTGATGACAGCAGAACGAAGGCAGTGGCCCTGTGAGTGGTAAGGAGGGGTCAGATGTGAAGATGATGTGAAGAGAGAACTGGCAAGATGTGGCAAATGGCAAAGGAGAGAATAACTAATGAAACAATAAACAATAGAGAAATTTGGAAAAGGGCTCGTATTTTGAGGGAAAGACAATGACGTCTGTTCTGAACATGCTAAGTTGGAAATATCAAGTAGGAAGTTAGAGATGCACGATGACAGCTCAAGACAGACCGGCTGAAGGAGAGCTCTTTTTTTGTTTTCACGGCACTTCTGCTGTCTCATGGTTCCCCTGCTACCTCTCTGATCACTCTTTGCTGGCTCTTCATCCATCCCAGGTTCCTTGGCAGGGTTTAGTAAGGTTCTGTCATAGGTACTTTTCTCATTTCAGTCCCTGACTTGGTAATCTGATCAGTCTTATAAGTTCAGTGTTCCCTATGCACAATCTAAGTATTGTGTGTGTGACTGAGACAATCTGGTAGAGGAAATGGGAGAGAGGAAAGAATCCAGTGTGCATATAGGAAGACGGGCTTTGGTGAGGGAAAGAGCCATTTACTTTAGATAAAGGAGGAAAGAATAGGGGATGATATTAAGGGGTTTTGAGATAAAGTGAAAGGGTAAATAAGTTCACAGTAAAGAATTTCTATTTTTTCTACAATACTGATATGGAACCTAGAAAGCACTGACAAAGATTACAAAAGCTTGAGCAAGAAACTGGAGATCTCAGAAGCACAAGGGATAATTTTATCAGTGCTATCATTAAAGGATTCAGAAAAGAAAAAGCAATTTGTGAGCATATGAGACAGTAAGAAGATAGTAATGAGTACATAAGATGGATACATAGTAGATAAGAAGAGATAGTATAATGAGAATGAAGATCTGGATTTCTGAACCACAGGTTAAAAAACAGGAATGACAGGCACTTGGCCAGGGATGAAGCATATTTAATAAGGTCTGGTTAAGAATGTATTTGCCTAGTCATTACACTCCCCTCTGGCTCAGTTTCTACTTCTGTAAAATGGGAATGACACCTCCCCTCCCTGCTCCATAAGAATGTTGTAAGAAAATCACTGAGTAAAGAGTAAGATAATCTTTAAACAGGTATTTGCAAATCTAATCCAGAGTTTTACACTGAAAGGGAAAGGAAAAGGGAGTCAGGGGAAACTGCCCACAATCACCAGAGTAGTTATCATAAACAGCAAGTACAATGAAGGTAGAAGAATGGCAGTAGAGACACTCAGGAGACACAGTAGACAAATGCCAAGAAAGAAATCATTAATCCAGTTTAGGAAAGTAAGATTAACCAGAAATTCTAAAGCAAGGAGGCAAATTTAATCTCATAGATGTCACAGTGTCAATGGGGGCTTCTATTATTCAGACATCTGGCTTATCTCTGCCAAAAGCAGAGCATTTGCTGATTTGCATTAACAGCAGATTTTTTTTTCTTCAAAAGGTACACTAATAAGTGTAAATTCTATCCTAGATCTGATTTTTGTCAAGGACAAGCTGACTGCTCTGTTAGAACTGACAGGAACTTAAAGACAAGTACGCACTCCCTCCTAGAGTTTGTATGTACATAGTTATTTGCATCTTGTCTCTGCCATTAGAATGTGAACTCCTTGAAAGTAGAGACTGTTTTTGCTGGGGGGGGGTTTTGAATCCCCATTGCTTAGCACAGTGCCTAGCAAACAGTAAATGCTTAATAAATGTTTGCTGACTTATTGTAGTCTGTTTATTTTCCACACAAACATATGTCCATGTTAACCATGTTACCAAAAACATAAAATAAACTAAAATTTTAAAAAGCCCCCACAATAATAAAAAGCAAGAAACATAGAGAAATTTTTTTTAAAAAGTATGCTTCACTTTGTACTCAGAGTTCATCAGCTCTCTCTCTGAAGTTAACAGCATTTTTCATCCTGGGTCCTTTGGAAACCGTCCTGGGTCATTGTCTTGATCAGAGTAGCTAAGTCTTTCACAAATGATCATCAACACAACATTGCTTTTACTGTGGACAATGTTCTCCTGGTTCTGATCACTTCACTCTGCATCAATTCACATAGATCACCTCCCCAGGTTTTTCTGAAACCATCTCGCCTGTCATTTCTTATGGCACAATAGTGTTCCATCACAATCATAAACTACAAATTATGCTGACTAGGGTTTGTAGAGAAGAAAAGGAAGGAAGTGAACAGAAGAGAAGGAAAGCTAGACATAGACTGACATAAATCCTGGATTTGGTGAGAACAGATTTCAAATAGTTCAGAGGACAGAGAAGCAGGCTTCCAAAGAGTACAGTTCTACAGGGGAAGTCAACTCACAAGGAATGGAGAAATCTCAAGATGAAATAAATACTGAAGATATAAGAGAAATAACTGATGATGAGAAAAAACATGCATCATCTGAAGAAACAGATTGTGGATGTATAGAAACCTCACCCATCAACTTAGATTTGAAATATAAAGAGGATGGAAGCAAGGACAATGACAGATACAAAAATGTGGATGAGCTGGTGCTGGAAGAGAAGCTAAGGACAGTTTTCTCAGGAGCCCCTGTTGAACAGAGAACCCTTGTCTCTACAGCTCACACTGTTGGGTTTTTTTCTTAGTTTTGTTTTTCTACACTGTTTAATTGATTTATTCTTTTTTTAAAAAGCTAAAACAAAAGAGTTTGGATGATTACTGCTTTACAATATAGTTTGAGATCTAGAAGTGCTATGCTTTCCTTTAGTCCTATGTCTTACCATTATTTCCCTTCAGATTCTCGACCTTTTATTCTTCCAGAGGAATTGTGTTATTATTTTGTCCAGCTTTGTAAAATAGCTCCTTGGTGGTCTGACTGGCATAGAATCAAGTCAGCTGATTAATTTAGTCATAGTTTTTATTATATTGAGGTGGCCCAAACACGAGTAATGACTCCAATTATTCAAATCTTTTATGTCTAATGAGTTTTAAAATTGTATATATATATATTTTGAGTGTCGTGGTAGGTTAACTCTCAGATACTTCATGTATTTTGTTAGTATAAATGAGATTCCTCTGTTTCTTTCTTTTTATTATCATACCTCTATAGAAATGCTCTCAATTTCTGCGAATTTATTTTATATCCTGCTACTTTACTAAAACCACCAATCATTTCTATCAGTTTCTTTAGTTACCCTCAAGTTTTCTAAGTAAAGCATCGTGTCCACTAATAAATACCAAAAATTCAGTCTCCTCTTTGCTCATGTTCATGTCTTTTAATTTGTTTTATTGCTGTTAGAATTTTTAAAACTATGTCAAATAATAGTGGGAAGATGGGCATTCTTGTTTCTATATTTACTGGGAAAGTTTCTAATATTTTCCATTGAAAATCATGCTAGTGGAATAATATGCAAAGAAGGAATTGTACCAAACAACTTTTATGTAACAAATATGGTGCTGATACCTAAACTAGGAAGAGCAAAAATAGAAAAAGAAAATTATAGACCAATTTCATTAATGAATATGGACACAAAAACTTTGAATAAAATATTAGCCAGGATACTACACAACAATATGTCAAACAGATTATACATGATGACCAAGTTGGTTTTATACCAAGAATGCAGGGATGGTTTAACATAAGGAAAACTATTAATGTAATTGATCATATCAATAACAAAAGTAATAAAAAAAATATATGATTGTATCAATAGATGCAGAAAAAGCTTTTGACAAAATACAACACTCACTCCCATTAAAAACACTTGAAAGCACAGGCATAAATGGATTTTTCCTTAAAATGATAAGAAGCATCTACCTAAAACTATTAGCAAGCATTACCTGTGATAACGATAAGCTAGAAGCCTTCCCAATAAGCTGAGAAGTGAAAGAAGGATGCCCATTATCACCAATATTATTCAATATTGTATTAGAAATGCTAGTAATATCAGTAACAGAAGAAAAAGAAATTGAAGGAATCAGAATGGGCAAATGAGGTAATAAAACTATCTCTCTTGGCAGACAAGCCATTATCCAACTGATGGGCATCCCCTCAATTTCCAGTTTTTGCCACCACAAAGAGAACTGCTATAAATATTTTAGAAATTATCTAATAGTGCTATTGCTGGGTCAAAGGGAGATACCGTTAGAAAACTAGAAGAACATGTTACACATTATCCTATCAGACTTATGGAAAGGAGAAGGACTTATGAAAAAACAAGAGACAGAAAACACTGTGAGATGTAAAATAGATAATCTTTAAATTAAAAAGGTTTTGCACAGATAAAACCAACATAGCCAAGATTAGAAGGAAAGCAGAAAATTGGGGGGGGGGGATTTAAAGACAGTTTCTCAGATAAAGGTCTTAAATCTCAAATATATAGAGAACTTTGTGTCAAATTTATAAGAATATGGGTCATTCCCCCAATCAATGAATGGTCAAAAGATATGAACAGGCAGTTTTTTGATGAAGAAGTCAACGGTATATATAGTTACATGAAAAAAATGCTCTAAATCATTATTGATTAGAGACATGCAAATTAAAACAACTTTGTGATATCATCTCTCACCCATCAGATTGGCTAAAATGATAGAAGGGAAAATGACAAACATTGGAAGGGATATGGAAAAACTGGGACACTATATAAACTACTATTGGTAAAACGGTGAGCTGATTCAAATGTTATAGGGAGGCAAATTTATTCTTGATGCAAAGAAACAATATCAAATGCGAGCATTCTAACAGTGGAATGGGCCTCCTTTTTGCTGGACTAAATGGCCCAATAGTTCATTTCTAACTGTGAAATTCTGTGATTCTTTGATAATGGATCATTTTGCTAGCCAAATTAATTGAATGATTTTGGGTCTCCCTTAGTCATAGGCATAGCACACGTCTAATCGATCCTGGCCAATTAGATTACTAGGAATTTTGAACCTAGGCTAATTTTTTTCTATTTGAGATTTTTCTTTTCTAAATAAAAAGGAACTTTTTTGCCCTTAGGATTTTTATTGTGTTCCTGCTTTTGAAGCATCCTTCTATACCTTTCTGCTTGGCCTCTTTATTTCTCAGGTTTCAAAGAGACAATATTGATTCTTCTCATATAATAACGTAGTTGGGAAACATCGCAAAGGACCACTTGTTTTTCCAAACCAATATATTCCACTAGACCGTTTAAGATAAAAGCGTGGTTTATCTGCAGATAAGCCAATGTCTGTGATAAAGAACCACGGTTCAACCCTGAGGACGTGGAGCTTAAGAATACTGTATTATAACATTTTATAAATATAATTTAAAGCAGATGACTTTGAAAATTAGAATGCAAGACTATTTAGACACAGGATGGTAAATTCTCTGTATGTAGTGATACCATTCACTTACACAGACAGCATTAATATCTGACACATGCCCAATGAAAGACTGCCTACACATTCCATCTCGGATATCCCAGAGTTTAGAAGAGGCATCGCAAGCACCAGAAACGAAAGTTTTCATGTCAGGACTTAGAGAGAGACTCATCACATCTCCAGTATGTCCAGTGAATGTGGTGGTCTGTTGGCCAGTTTCAATGTCCCATAAAGCACTGTAGAAAAACAAATGAAAATACCTACACATTATCCATCTTTAAATGTATACTTTTTCTTTGTCAATCAGTTTTCTTCTTACATAGACTTACCAGGTTGTATCTCCTGAACTTGTAACAATTTGGTTGTCATCTAAGAAACGGCAGCAGGACAAGTAGCCTGCAATATGCAAAGTTGAAAATGTCATCATTCATTCAGAAGTTGAGTGCACATACAATGGTAACAAATACAAAAGGGTTACAGCCTGCTACAACAGTGTTCAATGGTAAACATTCTTTTAATATCGAAGTATCTGGAAAATCTATACCGTTTGCAAATGAATAAAGATGGTTAAATATACCTAGTAAATATTGCTAACCAAAAATTATTTATATCATTATATTATAGTACTCCTATTGAAAATTAGAACCAAGTTAACAAGCACCTATCTCATTACAAAGAATCCTTAATTTGGATAACCACTATGAATTTCTGATTTAGTAACTGTACACAGTTGCTAATGGCCTGAAAGTGCTACATGACAGCAGAAAATTGAGAAATCAAATTTGAACACCAAAGGTTCTATTTTTCCAATTGTCAGAAAGCTAAAGGTTCCCACAATTCAAAACAATTTCTGCTTCCTCACCCAGTTAGCACTAATGCTGCTGCCAGGTAAGCCCAAATTTTGCTCACACCTGTGCTCACTATAGCAGTTCAGTCATTTTCAGTCGTGGCTGACTCTTTGTGACCCCATTTGGGGTTTTCTTGGCAGACACTGGAGTGGTTTGCCATTTCCTTCTCCAGTTCTTTTTAAAGATGATGGACTGAGGCAAACAAGGTTAAGTGATTTGCCTGAGATCACACAGCTAGTTTGTTGAACTCAAGAAGATGAATCTTTCTAACTTCAGGCCCAATACTATCCACTGTGCCATTTAACTGCTGGCTATACGACAGCTCACAAACAATTAGAAAAGAGGCCCAGGGCCAGGAAAAGGGTCACACTGGACAAGCATAGGTATAATGCATGCAGCTTACCTGTGTGGCCTGGCAATTCCCGGCTCACTCTCACATTGCCTTCTCTGGTTTTTAGGTTGTAGATGGAACAGATGTTGTCCAAACCACCACAAGCAACATAATTCCCAGAGGGAGCGTAAGCACAGGTCATCACCCAGGAGGATCTCAAAGGAATGGCATGCATCTTGAGAACAGATATATCAAAGCACCGATAAAACATTTATTTTTTAAGTACAGTAATCATTGTTTTCAGATCTGCTCGACTCTTAAGCAAATATTATTAATATCAAATTAAATATAACTGAAGACTCAAACTGCTAAAGTGAAAATATTTGAAGGAAAAATGAACAAAAAAGAAAGAAAAGCAGCCACTTTAAATTGTTATTATTTTCTCATGATCAAAGCTTTTTTGAAACAAGGCTCCCATTTTTCCCTCTACTTAGATGACCCTCTACAACATTTTAAATAAAGCCTGCAAAGTTTGCTAGAAAATTGAGTACCAACATAAACACTTAAAAATGCAATAAAATAAAGCTATTTCTCTAGGAAAATCATCAGGGTGTGTGTGTGTGTGTGTGTGTGTGTGCACTTGCAAAACCCTAGCGGTGGTATTTTAGAAATAGCAAGTGTAAAATTTTGACTTGTTCTTTAAGAACTAAAAGTCAAAACAAAACTAGACCATTTAAAGAATAAAGAACAAAGCATGCATAGGGTCTTAGATGAAAGAAATATTATATAGAAGGAAAGTAATTATTCCCTCAGCCACAACACTAGGCAATAGGGAAAGGAAATATTCTATAGCTATTAGTTTCATATAATCTTAATAATAATAATCCTTTAAATGTTAAAAAAAATGATGCTACTCCTCATTAGCCACAGCTACAGATTTATGTTAATCTATCCTTGTGCCCAAACACGAAGTAACATGCAAGACGCTGACTGGTGCTGAAACAATATGATTCTAACTGAGCCATAGGGGGGTTCAAATCCATGAATCTTGGTGTTATGAGTGTTACACCCTTATACTGGCTACAGCTATTTAATACATATAATTACTATAATATCTACATCTTGACCCTGAGAAGACTCCACATCAGACGTTTGCAAGTTAGCCCGCAAGTGCAGGCCACTTCCTTCTGAGGCTGGAGTGAAACCAAGGAGGAGTCATTTGCCTCTCCACGGGATGTCCAGAATGAAGTTCATTTTCTAGGATTTCAGACTTGTGCATTTTCCAAAGTCAATCTAAACCTCTATAAAGAAGTTCTGCCATAACATGGTATCTTGAAAGCTATTCTCAAAGAACACTAGTTATATAACTGTACTTGATATTTAAAAAATCAATGTTTTCCATATCAAGGTTAAAGCCTCAAATTTAGATAGAGATGTCAAAATATGCCTACAAATTTATTTGTAAAGTAAAACCCGGATAAAACAAAATCAAGAAAATCAGGGTTGTCAAACTATTGGAAGGGCCTTTAAAAAGCTAAATTTTATATTAAATGGACTATTCCTAAGTTTAAATTTGAAATCTGAACATCATTCACAAAAGTACTTATGTTGAAATAATTTCCACGATTTCAGAAGAAAAGAAGAGGCAAAACATTCACAAATTTAAGCCAAATCTTAAGGAGTATATGAATTAACATTCCAAATTGCTCTTAGAAGTAAATTAAATTCATTAGAAGCAAATTAAAATCATATTTAAAGCAGAAAAGTAAAATGGAAGAAACAATTAGTAGAAAGCAAATCAAACCCAAGAACAAAACAAAAGGACCTGGAGAAGCAACCGTACCTTATTTGTGGTGTAGCTATCCCAAATGATTAGTTTTCCATCTTGGGAAGCACTGACTAGTAGCCTAAAAGAAACCAATACATATAATACAAACATTTAGGGAAAAGTTTCACATTAGTTACATAGCATATGTTAATATGAAGGACTATTCAAAAAATAGGCTATTCTTTTTTCTAGTGAAAAATAAATTTGATACAAATTGTAGGTAAAAGGGCAAGCCTAAAAATCTTACATACATACCACAAAATAAGAATGACATCTAATTAATACCTTGTTTTATTCTTTTTAACTTTATGGTAATGGTGGCTATAAATTTCTGAAAACCAAAAAACCCTGCCAGTGCATAGATATAATTAAAATAATGTAATTTGTTAAGAATTAAGTTTACTAGATTAGCGAAAGCTTTTCAAAACATCAATGAAGATTTTCAGGGAAGGGGAAATTAATTTGCACAGTGTACATGTTATCTTCCAACTGGTCTAAACACCACTTTAATATATTCAAATTTTTATTATTAAAAAGAAAACAGAACAATTATTCTCAACTTCATTCTGTCAGTAACATTGAAAACTGCACGTGTACAAACCTTGAGTCATATCCCCAGTGCATGGCATAAATCTTAGCTAAGTGACCCCGAAGTGTACGCCTCGTTCGCATCTGGATTCTTCCCACAGAATCCAGACTTGTTGTCATCTTGAGAAAGAAAAAAAGAAAATTATTATTATCTTAAAAGTAATTCTAAGTGCTAACAACAAACTTTTCCAAATATATCCCTCTTTTCTCCCCACCCAGCAAGCTGTCCCTTATAACAAAGATTTTAAAAAGATAGTTTGAACTCAAATTAAATCAGGAATACTTAAATACCTTAATCCCACAACTGTATTGTATAGACTCTATGGGAAATTATTCTGCAGAGAAGAGTTCTATCAACCATATCCAAAGAAAGATCGCAGAAATTTTTTAAAAGCTGGAATTGATTTTGAGATCTTCTGGTCCAGACCATTCATTTTAGAAATAAAGCACAGAAGGTGTAACTCACTGAGCCAAGGTCATAGAGCTAGTTACTGGCAGTTAATAATGACCAATACAACACTCAGTACATTGCACTATATTGTTTCTACTCAAAAACATGATAAACTGTGATTGATTCAACTTCTTTTGTAGAATATTAACCTAAATTAATACTCACAAATCTTAATCTTGAATCATCACAAAAATTTAGAAGTAGGTGATCAGAGGATAAAACCAGGTTTCACACAGAATTATAGTCCATAATATAATGCCAATGTTATAAAGCTTTATAAACAACCAATCATAACCTTTTTTCACTAAAGTGTCAGAAAATGGCCTAAAAGAATAATTTTGTTGTCTTACCAAGAAAATATTTTAATATCAACAAAATAATAGGTGCTTAGGATTAGAAAGAACCTTAAAAGTTCATCATTTTATCCATCCTCATGATTTTACAGATGAGGTTCTGTCAAAGCTTTAACACTTTATGCAAAGGAAATCACAAACCTAACACACCAGGTCTCTAAAAGGAATATAGAACTACTTGAAGAGAGATCTATATGGTCATATCCTACATTAACATTACCCACTTTAAAATTTAATACTACCATCTTTAATATATCACTATCAAACCTTATTGTAATAACTGATGCCTTCTCTGAAGCCATTGCTCTGTTCACTGAAGGTGTAAACTGAACGGCAGAATCTTATAATGTCACTGGAGTTTTAATAAACCTAAAAAGAAATCATCTAGTCCAGGGTTCACCATTTTTGTGTCATGGACCCCACATGATTAAGCTTTTGGATCCCTCTGCAAAATAATCTTTTGTTATCTTCTTCATTTAATAATTGAAAAGTATACTAAATTTCAGTTAGAGGTTAGTGAAAAGATGTAACCAGCCTCCCCCTCCACACACACACACACACACACACACACACACACACACACACACACACACACAGCAAGTCCACCAACACCATGAAATCTACCCACAGATCCCTGTGGGGCTGATTAGCAGGTCAACTGCCCCTAGTGTAATCTAACTACCTCAGTTTACATGTAAATAAAATGAGGCCCAGAGAGATGAAGATTGACAACCTAGGGGTTCTGACTTCACTTCTAGGGCTCTTTCCACTACACCACATTGCCTTGCACTTCAGAGCCACATTTCATGCCCAGCAGCAGCAGCAGCAGCATCTCTCTGAGCCCCTTATAATATCATTGCATTTCACATCCTATTTCTCTGAAACAATTAAGGATGTTAGGCAGAGTATGCCTTTATTGCATTTACATTTTCTATAACTTTATGTAGCATCTATTAGTCCTTTAGCAAGCATGCAATTTGACTTTTATGTGCTATTTAAAGTGAGGATGGCTTTTTTCTTTCAATGCAAACTTGTCACACATAATTAATGGAATATTAAGAAATAACATTTTACCTGACTGAGTGTTGTGTCACCACATGCTTTCCTAGCATCCTAAAGGAAAGAGAAAAACACATATTTAAAATGAATTTAGACCACATTTTTAATTGTTTTGAAAAAGATCAATTTTACTGAACAGAATTAAAATTTATAATTTCTATAATACTTTTGGTCAACCATGAACAAAAATAAGAGATTGTTCTTAACTTGTTTTTCGTGAAACTTAAGCAAATGGTCCTCAATAAGTACCTGGTACTCAGGGTTATTCTCACTGATGAGCCTCAATGTGGATTACTGTACTGAGAACTCTTCTATTTGCTTCTTCCTAGAAGCAGTTCAGATTGCTGAGCAGTTCAAACGTCAAAGAAAAAAGGTTCTCATAAATATCCTTTACAAATATTGAGATAATTTTAAACGTCAAGAAAATAACTTTCTGTTTTCACACTTTGTAAAGCCACTTGGCTCCATACAATGATATCACAAAGCCTCAGGGTGGTCAGAAACCTCTAACATGGGGGTTTTGGAAGCCCCAGGAGCAGAGACCAGCTGCCACAGCACTTAGACAAGGACTCCCTAGGCCCAGTGGCTCCGAGGCCCAGAGAGAGCCTGGAAGACGTAGTTCTCTGAACCTCAAAGATCCAAGGGAGCCTAATCCTGGTAAACAGAAGTCAGCACAAGGATTCAGGTCAGGACCACTCAGGGCCAACAACCCTACTCAAAAGTGCAGTAAGGTACAAAGCCTGCCCTAGCACAAATCCTCAATTCAGCATGTAAAGCCGAATGGATCAAAAAAAAAATACCAAAAGAGATAAAAACAATTATTGTAACTCTAACTCCATACTAACTGTAAACAAAGACTCAGAGGTCCTGGGGATGAACTGGTTCTGTTCTTGAGGGTTTTAAAAAGGAAAGGTAGGAAGAGGAATATACTAGTGTCAAAACAAGGGAGAAAGGGGTAAAACTTGCTATTTCTCATAATCAGGTTATGTTAGAAGAAAAGGATACAAATATAAAGGAAAGAATAAAAGGGAATGGGCATCAGATGAACTACTCTCCTATCTAAATAAACCCACACAGCTAGTGTAGAAATACATGAAAGGCAACAGGGAAACCAGTGAAGATGGGGAGGCAGGGGTTAAGACAGAGGAAGATACTGGGAAGGGAAGAGTCACAAGCAAAATAACTTCCTGATCTTGAAGGGGGTACTAAGGAAAAAAGAAAAGAACTAGCTTCTAAGAGGGTATCTTAGACTTGGTTGAGGAATGGCTACACAAAGTATAAGAATGTAATGGAATATTATTATACTGTAAAATGACAAAGGAGATATTTAGTGAATCCTAGGTAGCATAAACTGATTCACAGTGAAATGAGCAGAACAATTTATACAATGAGAGCAACACTGTAAAGTAAAGCAACCTTGCAAGACTCAAGAACTCCAATAAATGTAATGACCAACCATGTCACCAGAGGACCTCGGATGAAACCTGTTTCCACCTCCTGACAGAGAGAGGATAGATTCCAGGTACAAAGAGATACATTTCTGGGGATGGCCATTCTGTGAATCCATTTAGCTTGATTTTGCTTATTTTACATGTTCTCCTTCTCCCACCCCAGGCTATTTTTCCCTCAGGTTTTACTTGGAGGGTAGGGATAAACTAGTAATAGTAATGCCAAAAAAAAAAGAAGAGGGCTATTGTAATATTTTTTAAATGTACAGATGAGAAAAGAAGGAAGTTGAGAAGGAAACAGACAAGAAAGGCTGTTTTGAAAGTAATGTGAAAGATATACATTTTTTTAAAAAATGAGGTGGTGTGAAAGGGAAATTCAGTTTCATACAGAACTGTCTTTCTATGTTCTGCTCTGGGTAGAAATGTTCTGAAGTTAGAATAAAAAAAAATTTTTTTAATGCAGCTCAGAATTAGAAGTAACAGTTAATTGAGAGTAGGAGGGTGAATCTTTGCAGTAAATACTTCAAAGTTTATTATCTAAGATAAATAAGAACAACACTCACTCCCTAATATGTAAATAGTCAAAGGATATATAATACAGGCAATTTTTGAAAGAAGAAATGCAAGCGGGGCAGCTAGATGGCACAGTGGATAGAGCACCGGCCCTGGAGTCAGGATGACCTGAGTTCAAATCCGACCTCAGACACATAACACTCACTAGCCGTGTGACCCTGGGCAAGTCACTTAACTCCAACTGCCTAACCAAAAAAACAAAAAAAAAGTGATCCAAGGAAAGAATATGCCAAATTAATAAAAGAAATGCAATTAAAACAACTCTGAGGTTTTTCTAGCATAACAAAGTGAAAATAGCTCTAATTCAAAGTATAAGGACCTAAGTTCACATTATGATTGCTTTTTATGTAAGTCATTTCACCTCTAAAGTCCTCTCCAGTTCTAAAGCTATGATACTACAATCCTGTGACCTCACATCCATTGGACCATCAAAAAAGACAGAAGATGAAAATGAAATGATGCAGAAGTTACACGAAGACAAATACACACTAATTAATGCACTGATGGTAGTTCTATCAACATGTCCCACCACTCTGGAAAACAACCTGGAATTATGTTTTTAAAAAAGTCACTTTTAAGGAACAGCTAGGTGACCAAGTAGATAGAGCACAGGCCCTGGAATCAGGAGGACCTGAGTTCAAATGTGACCTCAGGCACTTATTAGCTGTATGACCCTGGGCAAATCACTTAACCTGGATTGCCTCCAAAAAAAAGGTCACTTAGTTATAAATACCCTTTGATCTAGTAATACCACAGGCAGACATAACACCTCAAGAAATTCAAAAGCGGAGAGAAAGGTCCTATACGGACAAAAATATTTTCAGCAGTACTTTTTGTGGTAGCAAAGCACTTCAAGGACAATTAGTAGCCATTAACTGGGGGAATGGTTAAACAAATGATGGTATACAAAAATATACCAGAACAGAATTTCACTATTAAGAAATGGAAAATATGAAGAATTCAGAAAAAAAACCAAACCTGGCTACTTGCACGAACATTAGTAAAGTAAAGAGAATAGAATAATTTACATGATGATCCCAATAATGTAAATAAAACCAACACTGAAAGACTTTAGAACTCTGACCTCTGCAGTGCCCAGTTGTGACCTAAGAGGACTGATGTGTATGTTTCCAGCTTTTTGACCAGAAAGGTGGAAGACTATAGGTGCTTAAAAAAAAAAAGACATACATTTTTCAGACATGGCCAGTGTGATAAATTTGCTTTGCTTGAGTGTTTTTGTTACAAAAAAGGCCTAGGGGGTGGAGTGAAGAAGAGTTATTGGGAAATGACAGTAACATAAAGCAAAGCTTTTCATAACTTTTAATAAAAGTTGGAGGGGTTTTTTTGTTTTTGTTGTTGTTTTTTATTTGTTTGTTTGTTTGTTTTTGGCTAGGCAATGGGGTTAAGTGACTTGCCCAGGATCACACAGCTAAAAAATGGCAAGTGTCTGAAGCCAGATTTGAACTCAGGTCCTCCCGACTTCAGGGCCAGGCCTCTACCGTGCCACCTAGATGCTCCGAGTTTTTTCTTTTTCTGAAAAAAAAAAAAAGACAGGGAGAACAGGAGAGGTGCCAGAGATCTGGAGAAGGGCAATCATTACAGTTTAAAAAAAAGAAAGTAGAGACTAGAGTCTAGTTCAGTAAGCTAGGCTTTAATTCCTAGCAAATTATGTAACATATTATTAAAAGGGACAGTTAGTAAGCAACTAGGAAGTATCAATCACAATAAGCCAACATGGCTAGGCTGTACAGAGGATAGAGTGCTGTACTCGGGGAGTCAGGAATACTTGAGATCAAATCCTATTCCAGATATTTACATGCTGTATGACCCTGGACAAATCACTCAGCCTCAGTTTCTTCATATGTAAAATGAAGGAACTGAACTTGATGGCCTCTAAGGTCTCTTCCAGATCTAATTTGATGATCCTATCACTTCTCAATAATTAAGTTTTATATATATGTATATATGCACACACACACCATTTTATAACACATTTTCTTTTCTTTTTTTGTTTGTTTCTTAATTAATTTATTTTGATTTATCAACAATCATTTCCGTAGGCTTTTTAGTTTTAAATTTCTCTCCCCTTCCCTCCCCACCTCCTTTCCCAAGACAGTGTGCAATCTGATATAGGCTATACATATACATTTCTATTAAACATATCTTCGCATTAGTCAGGTTGTAAGGAAGAATTAGAACCAACAAAAGGAACCACAAGAAAGAAGAAACAAAACAAAAAAGAAAGAAGAAGAAGAAAGAAAAGAGCAAATAGTATGCTTCAATCTGCATTCAAACTCCATAGCTCTTTCTTTGGATGTGGATAGCATTTTCCATCATGAGACATTTGGAGGTATCTTAGATCCTTGCATTGCTCAGAAGGGAACAACACTTTCTCTGACAGCAAAGATATGACAAATGAGTACCCATCAATTGAGGAATGATTTAACAAATTGTGGCAATAAATGGAATTGAATATTATTGTTTCATAAGAAAAAACAAATATGATGAATTCAGAGCAATTTATATAATGATCACAATAAAGTAAACAAAAGCAATGAAAGGGCATACTTGTTAAATGTGCAGATGGTACAAACCCAAGACTGACAGTTAACACACTGGAAGGCAGAGTCAAATATAGTAAGATGGAATATAACAGACAAAAATGTGAAGTCCTACATTTGGGTTCCAAACACACCAACTTGAAAAGATGGATGTGGCAAAGTTAGGCAGCCATTCATCTGAAAAAGATCTGGGGACCTTCCTCCTGGTGACATGGTGCTGAAAAAATGAGGCTGGAAAAAATAGGCTGAGTCCACTAAAATTTATAATACATAATCTCAACTGGGCCCTCCCTGTGGCAAAACAAACTTCTTACACCTCTTTAATCAATTCACTATCTGACTCACCAGTGACTATACCAAACTTTTTTTTCTTTCCTCAAGTCTCACATGGTACTCCTTCCCCAACCTCGTCACATCACTCATATATAGCTTCCCCTACGTTTTCCTCCTTCATCTTTGTCTTACCCAAAGAGGTGGCCTTTCCCTTTGCCAAGGCAGACCCATCTAGTGTCATAACTCTGAAAAATTAAATCTCCCTATCTATTGACTGCTTCTATGCTGCCTACAAACATGGCCATGTATCCCTCATCCTTAAAAAATACCTTTACTTGATCCAACTATCCCATTAAGTTATCATCCTGTATCTCTATTTCCTTTCATGGCTAAACTCAAAAGAATTTATCTACACTAGGTGCCTTTACTTGCTCTCCTCTCACTTTCTTCTAAATCCTCTTCCTTCTGGCTTCTAACCTGAAATCATTCAATTGAAAGAGTCTCATTTTCTTTTTTTTTTTTTTTAGTGTGAGGCAATCAGGGTTAAGTGACTTGCCCAGGGTCACACAGCTAATTAAGTGTCAAGTGTCTGAGGTCACATTTGAACTCAGGTCCTCTTGACTCCAAGGCCAGAGCTTTATTCACTGTGCCATCTAGCTGCCCCAGAAATCTCATTTTCTAAAGTTATCCATGCTCTCTTCCTCCTCCCTCTTTTATCAATTATTAAGCTTTTCTCTCTCCTACTTTCCTCTCCCACTGGGAAAAAAACAAAACAAAAAAAAACCTCTTGAAACATATAAGCAAAACAAACTCCAATATAAATTATCATACTGGCCATGTCCCAAAATATGTCTTATTCTGCACATTTGTCTATCACTTCTCTGTCAAGAGGTGGGCAGGATTCATCGTTAGTCCTCTGGAATCATTTTGATCAATGTGTTGATCAGAGTTAAGTCTTTCAGAATTACTCATTTTTACAATACCGATGCTATAAGACAAACTTTCCTGGTTTTGCTCCCTTCATATTGCATCAATTCATTCAAGTCTTCCTAGGTTTTTCTTAAACCATCTCCTCCTTCATTCTTTACAGTACAATTGTATTCTATTACATTCATATACCATAATTTGTTCAGCCATTCCTCAGATGATGGGTACTCCTTAGTTTCCAGTAATTTTCTACTACAAAAAAAGCTTCTATAAATATTTTTGTACAAATAGGACCTTGTCCTCCTGTGTTTCTGTTTTCTTTTCTTTTTTTTTTTGCTTTTTTGGTGAAGCAATCAGGGTTAAGTGACTTGCCCAGGTCACACAGCTTGTAAGCGTCAAGCACCTGAGGCTGGATTTGAACAGTGCCTCCTGACTCCAGGACCAGGGCTCTATCCACTGCACCAACTAGCTGCTCCCCTGCTGTCATACAGTTTTGAGAGCTGCCACTCTGAGGTGCTCCCTTCCTTCCCACTTTGTTTTTCATTATGTCCCCTGAGATTTTTGACCTTTTATTCTTCAAGATGAATTTCATTATTATTCAGATGTATTTTAGAGCCTAAACTTTGCTGAAGTTATTACTCATTTCAATTATTTTTAGTTCTTTATACCCTATCATATGAAAAAAAGTGATAATTTTAAACAAATGGGTATTGTGCTTTGCCAAAAGTCTTTCCTAATTTTATACAACTAAGTGGTATAGTGGATAGAGTACCAGGTCTGAAGTCAGGCAGACTCATCTTCCTCAGTTCAAATATGGCCTTAGACCTTGGGCAAGAACTTGTTTATCTGAGTTTCCTCATCAGTAAAATGAGCTGGATAAGGAAATGGCAAACTATGGCCAACAAAACCTGAAATGGGGTCACAAAGGGTTGGCTATAACTGAACAACAATTTTATAGCAACCCTATATCTCTGGTATAAATCCTATCTGACCAATCACGGTTTAATCTTTGTGATATGTTGCTGAAGGCTCATTGATAACATTTTATTTAAAATTTTTGCATCAATGATTACTGAGGATCTTGATGTATAGTATTCTTTCTCCAGTTTGATTCTCCTTGGTTTAGGTATCCAGACTATTTGCAAACCGTCTGTAAAATACTACAATTAATTATTCTTTGAACATTTGACAGAATTTGTTTGTCACTGTATTTGGACCCAAAGTTTTTCCTTTGGCAGTTTATTTAAAACTTTTCTGACACTGGGGCTATTTATATGTACATTCCTTATTTCTTGTTATATAAACCTGGCTATTTTATATTTTTGTAACCATTCATCCATTTCCTAGTTGCCAGCTTAATTGGTATATGATATGGCAAAATGGTTTCTAATAACATCCTTTATTTCTTCTTCATTTGTTATAAATTCTCCTTTTCCATTCTTGATATTTTAATTTGGTTTTCCTCTTTCTTCTTTAAAAACAGGTAATGGTTTATCTATTGTATTGGTTATTTCAAAAAATTCTCTAACCATCTGAAGATAGCATATGCTCTCCATTCTAACCACCCCTCATTTCTTCGACTGTTCCTCATGATACAGTTTTGAGTCCTTTTATCATCTTAGCTACCCATCACTGAACAGATGAATTTGCTGATACTCTTCTTAAAATGTAGGACCCAATATACACATTATTATGCATCTCTGTGTTGGAAGTGAGGAGCAGCATGACACAGTGGACAGAGAGCTGGCCTCAAAGTCATGAAGACTCAAGTTCAAATTCCCTCTCTGCCCCATACTTGCCTCATGACTGTGGCAGTCACTTAACCTTTCAGTGCTCCAGGCAGCTCTCAAAGATAATGAGTGACAGAGACCCCGAACTGGTAGAGGGAACTCCCTCACCAGGAGTTCCCTAAGTCAATGAAATCATATCTAGTTCCCTTTCCCCCTAAAATGTTAGGCGCTGGTGATAACAAAGAGGGAAATACAAACAGCCTCCGTCCTCAAGGAGCTAAATTCAGTCGGCGAAATAACATGTAAGTATTTACAAAATAAAAACAAGGCAATTTTGAGGGAGAAGTACTAACAGCTGAGGGGATTCAGAAAGGCCTCTTGTAGCTAAACTTTGAAGGAAACTAGAGATCTTAAGGGTAGAGATAAACAGAAAGTGCATGTCAGGCATGGGGGACTGGTCAATGGCTACAGGCATGGAAACAGAAGATGGAAAGCCCTATATGTTGTATAGGAAGGCCAGACTGCCTGGAACACAGAGTGCAAGAAGGGAAATAATGTATGACAAGGCTGAAAAGACAGGCTGTAGCCAGTTTGTGAAGGGCTTTACAAGTCACACAGAGGTCTCAGTGCTGAAGACAACATTCCAAATGTAGTACTCAAATGATCAGTATTCAAGACACAATGCTTCTCTTAATAAGTAAAGGATGACACTAACTTTTCTGGAAGTCAAAGCAAAATGCTGACTAACAAGAATTTATAGCCAATGAAAATCCCAAAGTCTCTTTTACCCATTTAGTGACTACTGAAGAAGCGGAGCAGTCAAGAGCTTTCTGAACTCGACCTCTGGTGAGGACCCCTGGCTTTGTGTAGAGGAGCACTCTTTAAAATTTTTATAGAAGGCACTCTAAATGAATGTTTTTTTCCTTGGCATCTTTTTCCCTCAACATAAATGAACAACGTCAAGCATACCATTTCAAAAAGGAATAGAACAGTATGTCACAAGTGTTGTTGATAGCCAAGGGAATTCTGCCAGCTGCTGGTGAGCTCCCTGGCCAGGATTTCACTGTGCTGATTTTGAGTTAATGTAACGAATCTGTCCTCCTAACACTGTCACAGAATGACAGGCCAAGCTGCCAACAGAGGGTGGAGAAGGTTCTCTGTTCTTTTGATATGGGAAGGTGTGTAGCATTTTGTCGGATGGGAGGAGAATGGCATTCATTGTCCCTTATACACATCTAAGGCTTCCAAAGGTGCCATAGCAATCTCACTAATATTCACAGGTGAAAGCTGACTAGTGACTTCAGATGACGACCACTTTTCTCCAAGATCATTCCTTAACTCTTAAAAATCACTTGTGTGCCTACTTAAGTATGTCCTTTGAGGCTCAGACATTTGATGAGGCTTATGTTAAGATGATGAATGTGAAAGGGTTTCTTACAGAATCAAAATAACACTTTAACAGGTTTGCTTCAAGTTTTTTGTTGGGCCTCAAGCCCAGAGTAGTCAGTCAATCATCAAGCATTTATGTGCGACTCTTCACGACCCCATTTGCAGTTTTCTTGGCAGAGAAGCTGGAGTGGTTTGCCATTTCCTTCTCCAGCTTATTTTACAGATGAGGAAACTGAGGCAAATAGGGTTAAGTGATTGGCCCAGGGTCACACAGCTAGTAAATGTCTGAGGACTGATTTAAACTCACAAAGAGGAATCTTCCTAACTACAGTCTCGGCACTCTATCCACTGCAGCCATCTAGCTGCCCCATCAACAAGCATTTATTAAGCCCCTATCATGTGCTAACAAGTGTGCGAAGTGTTAGGGATTCAAATAAAGGCAAAAAAAAAAATTCCTGCTTTCAAGCAGCTTGCATCCTAATGAGGGAGACAAGATGGAAACAACAAGTATATACACAATGTACATAGAGAGTAAATGGAAGGTAGGCAGGTGCTACTATTATACCCATTTTCTTGATGAGGAAACTAAGGCAGACACAGATCAGACAACTCGCTTGAGGTCACACATTAGGAGGGGTCTGACGTGGGCTGTGACTCTGCTCAACCCGTTGTCCTGTGGCACTGCCTGAGAAGATGCACAGTCTGTGCCTGGAACTGTTCTAAGTGAACTTAATTGGTTAAATTGAAGTACAATGATTTGCACTCGAATTTTTTTTTTAATTAAGGAAAAGTGTTAAGCAGAGCTAAAGCATCAAGACAAGTGAAGCATCAGGTCTTACCTTGATCTGACCCCGAAGCTGCTCTGCTTCCTGCCGTAACTGCTCCAGCTCACTCATCCTCCAAGCCTGTGTTTGCCTTGAGCTTAGTAACAGACAGTACTGCTGAAGATGACTGTCAAAAAAGAGATTTATTTTCCTATTAATCTTTTTAAATTTGCATATGCAACTCTTTGCATTTCATTATGAAATTTAACTAAGATAGCTATGACTGGAATACAGTTATATATTACATACAAACCCATTTAATACCTTAGTCTTTTAAAAAGGAATGTAATCAAAGTGATAAGTGGAGAGGGGAAAAAAACTTTTTAGCTAAAGTATTCAGCACTGAGGACAGGTGAATAGTACAACTAGAAAGGAGTCAGTAAGAAATAAATTTAAATCATCTTGAAGGCAAGAAAAGGATTAGTGATTTGGTTTTAGGAGTGAAGGGGGTAAGTATGAATAATTTAAGAAGAAACAGCAAGTTTTAACAACAAACTATACACAAAAATCATAATGGAAAAGCCAAAGACCGCTTTCTAAAATTTACCTGCTTGACAAGTATCTCAAACAGGAATGAGCTATAAGTGACAAGTCAATCAACAAATAATTATCGTGTGTTCTCCTATATACAAAGCACTAGGAACAAAAAATTGGCCTAATGACAGACATTTGGATGCTTCTATTAAAGAAGTGTCCCCTGGCCCCATGGAATACATCACAGTGAATCAGTTAACCAAGCTTTTATTGAGGGCATCCTACATGCTAGGCACTGTGCAAAGTGCTGAGAATAAAAAGAAAGGCAAAAGATAATATCTGCTCTCAAAGAGCTTACAGTCCAGTGGGGGAGTCAACATGCAAATAACTATGAACAAATAAGCTATGTACAGGATAAACTGGAAATAATCAAAAGACAGAGGTTGCTCCCATTAAGCGGAATGAGAAAAGACATTACAGAAGGTGGGACTTAAGATTTGAAGGAAGCCTGGGAAACCAGGAGGCAGAGATGAAGGAGAGCTCCAAGGCCTAGAGGACAGCCACAGTCACTAGATCTCAGAGTCCATAAGGATGGTGTAAGATGTAAATCCAAAGTGACTATTAAGAAAGGATGGGGCTAGTCAGGAGTGGGGAACCTATGGCCTCAAGGCCACATGTGGTCCTCTAGGTCCTCAAGTGCAGCCCTTTGACTGGATCCAAACCTCACAGAACAAATCCCCTTAATAAAAGGATTTGTTCTGTAAAACTTGGGACTCAGTCAAAAGGCTGCACCCAAGGACCTAGAAGGCCACAAGTTTCCCGCCCCTGGAGCCACTAGGTTATGCAGAGCTTTAAAAGCTAAACAGAGGATGTGATGTTCAATCATAGACACAACATGGAGCCAACAAAGCTGAGTGAACAGAGTGTCAGACTTGTGCTCTGCGAAGATCAATTTGACAGGTGAATGAAATATGGACTCAAGTGGGGGAAGATGAAGCAGGAAGACCAACCAAGGAACTACTGGAATAGTCCAGGTCTGAAGCAATGAGAATTATGTACCGGGATGGTGGCAGTGGCAGAGGAAAGAAATAGGTGTATACAAGAGCTGTATAAACTACAGCACTTGGCACCTGATTGGATATGAGGGAGGAGCTGAGGATGAAGCCCAGGCTGGGAGCCAATCTCCCACGTTTGCTTAGGTCCTTGACAATATGCAAAGGGGCTGATTAATTTTCAAAATAAGTCATTTTCTGCTTATGGGATTTAATGTGAAAAATACCATGCAAATTTAGGTAATAGCACTATTATTATTTTAGAAGACAATGGCACCCTCCATAGTAATAGGGTGGTTAGGAAAAGAGAAAGTAGACTGGGAGAGATTTAAAATCAGTGAGGGGGCAATCTGCTGGAGAAGATGGGATGGGATCACTTGTACATGTAGAGGAGTTTGCCTTGGCAAGGAGAAGGGCCACTTCATTATGAGAGACAAGGATGAAAGAAAAAGTGGTGAAAAGCATCTAGAGTGACATGAGATGAATAGGGAAACAGAAGGGGCCCTTGAGGAATGGCCTCAATTTTTCCCATCGAACTATGGAGCAACCGCTCAGCTAACGGGGTAGGGAGCAGCCATGGCAAGTTTGAGGGGGGATGAAAAAGTTTGGAAAAGCTGATGTGGTTAGTGAGATAGTGAGTAAACTGGTGAGGTGTGAAAGGATTGCCTTTCTGCAGTGAGGTCCCAGTTGAAATTCTGTAACACAAATTAGTAGTGGACCCAGCCAGTAGTATCATGATTTTCTCCATCATTCAGCAGCACTTAAGTAGAAGTGAAAGGAGTGAGTGGTGGGAATAATTAATAAGGCCAGGGTTTGGAAGGGGAAAATCTCAAGAAGATGGTGTGGGATTGAACTCGTTCACCAAGGGATCAAGTCTGAGAAGGGAGCAGAGAATGGACAGTACAGAGTTGATGGCCTGGGAAACAACTGAAGGGTTAAGGGACTGGAGGTAACAGTGAGGATAAAGAACAGGTTTTTGGGGCTGCAAGGCTGAGGGAGAGGTGGAATTCCTACAGATGATGACATAAAGGAATTTCAGAGTTCATGGAAATGGAACTCTTGCAGATGATTACAAGACCAAGGATATGACCATCTTAGTACACCTGCAGTGGAGCAGAAGAGTGGGTCATAGGAAACAAGTAAACTGAGAAACTACTAGAAGGGTAAGGTATTGGAGGGAGTCTCATAGATATGTTGAAGTTCCCCAGGATGAGGACAGGAGTTGGGGAGCAGAGTAAGAACGTGAGCCAGGCACTGAACTCACCGAGGAAGGAAAGAGTGTCCCAGAGGTCTATAGACAACAGCTGCTAGAATTTTGACTGAGTGACAAATGTGGATTAAATAAACCTCTAAGGAAGAAAGGTAATGGTGGTAGAGGGGGAGCTTGGAAATGGCAATGGGGAGCCATTAAGATTCCAATTCTCCCGCCAGAACCAGTAAGTCATGGGCACGCATTTAAAGTGTGACCAGTGCTGGAGAAGGGGGCCAGGGAAGCTGTCGTCAGGAGGAAGCCAGGTCTTGGTGAGTGCAATGGAAAAGAAAACGGTTTACAATGAAAGCTAGTCTGTGAACAAGGGAGCAGGCATTCCAGGGAGCAAGTGGAAGAAGAAGAAGCTTCAGAGTAGGGTCTTGGAGGAAGAATTGGGTTGAGGGGGATAGAAAAAGGAAGTTGTCAGGTGGGAACCAAAAACAAGGTTTGAACAAGGAGATCAAAATTATTAGGTGAGAATGAAACTTTCTTGTCGAGGGTCTATTCTAATATATAAAACACTGCTCAGCTGGGTGAATTCAAGTTTTCATTCATAGTAATCGCAAGATTGGAAAAGGGCCTCTCAGTTCTCTTTCGCCCTTGGAGCACCCCAATAACAGTATTCCTTCTCTAAACTGGGTCTGAGAAGATGATAGCATCAAGAACGAACATCTGGAGAACAGCAGCCATCAACACTGCCTTAGAAATAAAGGCAGGCAAGCAGTGTTTGAACTGATCCCTGTTTCCCCACCCATCCCTCCTATACATTCCAGTTACCCTTAACCTCCTCTTAGACTGAGTTGCTCTGGAATAGATTGTGTGTCTGTGTGCTGCATACTAATTTGTATAATGCTTTAAAGTTCACAAAGCACTTCCTTTACAACAAATCTATATGGCAGGTAGTACAAATAGTAATGTTCTCATTTTAACATGAGAAAACTAAGGCCCTGATAGGTTAAGTCATTTATAGTCACAGTCAGTCACTCAATCAGTCAACGAACCTATTATGTGTAAGGCTGGATAGGGAGTTGGGCTTGAAGTTAGGAAGACCTGTGTTCAAATATGGCCTCAGACACTTACTAGCTGTGTGACACTGGGCAAGTCATTTAACTTCTGTTTGCCTTAGCAAACCACTTCAGTATCTTTGCCAAGAAAACCTCATGGACAGTATTGGCATGCTACGGTCGATGGGGTCCCAAATAATTGGACATGACTGAGTGACTCAACAACATGTCAGGTACTGTGCTAAGCCCTGGGGGTACAAAGAAAGACAAAAAAAAAAATCCTTGCTCTCAAGAAGCTTACAATCTAACGGTGGAGACAACATGCAAACAGCTATGTACAAACAAGATCAAACCCAGGTCTGCTGACTCCAAGTCCACAGTCAGGTCTTCCTGACTCCTATCTACCATGGTACCACCCCTTTCAAAACGAAGATTCAGTAAAAACATATTTTTATTTTTTTAGACTCTTTCCTTTTTTTTATTAATTTACTTAGATTTATCAACAATCACTTCCATATGCTTTTGAGTTTAAAATTTTCTCCTCCTTCCTCCCCACCACCCTCCCCAAGATGGCGCACAATCTGATATAGGCCATACATATACATTCCTAAAAACATATTTTTAAAAGCAGGAAAGTAATAGGAAGGGGAGGAGAGACAAATTATGCTTGTTCCTGATAAATGATTCAAAGACCCACACCTGAAAGTTTCTTTTTGTAATTGTATTATCACACTCAAAATAAAATATTTAAAGTACTCCTGCCTTTAAGAAACTTACATTTTATCAAGGAAGACAACATATAAGCATATAAAATATTCACAAATCTATTATACATACACATATATTTTTAAAAGACTAGGTTCAGATGGATACTTCAGGAACATCATTTTGGAATTCAAAGAATCAAATGGAGATGGAAGAGACTTGAGGAAGGGGTAGATTAATTAGGAAGCTAATAAAATAATCTATGTGATAGGTAATGTGGGCCGGAAGTAGAGCAAGGGCTGCAGTAGATAGAATCCATAGGACTTGGCATCTGGTTGAGCACAGGGGGGGAAAGGGGGTAAGGAATCAAAGATGACTCCAAGGTTGTGAACCTGAGCGACTAGAAGGATAATGGTGCTCTCAAAAGAAACAGAGAAGTTCACTGGAAGGGAAGAAAGACTATGAATTCTTTCAGGTATGCTGAGCATTGGATACCTAATTTGAAATATGTAATAGTCAGTTAATGACAAAAGACTAGTTCTCCGGAGAGAAATTTAGGGCTGGATACAGTGTTCCAAAAATCTTAGTGCAGCTTTAAGCTTTAATAGCTTAGGTAGTCATTAAAGCTATTATTAAAAATTAA